CTGCACATGGCATAAACAAGGGCTGCCTCTGTTTTGTGACTGGTATGACCATCCCCGGCACATTGAAATGATTATTTCCTTCGCTTCTGTTTCCCTTATTCCTCCTTCTTTCATTTTGTCCATCTTGTTTTCCTTCCATCCTATCCCATCTTCTCTGAACCACACACACCAGTGCGCGATGCAACCATGTTATTGGTACTGTGAGGTTCAACCAAACACAGCAGTGTCTTGCTTTAGGCATGCAAGACATCATACATACAGACACACACACACACACACACACACACACACACACACACACACACACACACACACACACACACACACACAGTAGTATTAAAGCACTTCCAAGAATGCACAACCCAAATATGTCTGAAAGCACAAACACACTCACGTTTCAAGACACATATACATACACACACACACTCTCATACCAAAGCACACACTTACACTGCAAAGTGCAATGTGTGAGAGCAAGAGCTGGTAAGAGTGAATGATGGATTTTAAAGAAATGATCAATATTCTGCTTTGAATAGAAGAAGCATCATGCAAAACTCACCTTTTATATTTCAATATCCAACACCCTGTATGACTGTGTCTCATTCTTTCGCTTCCTTTCTTTTAATTTTCTCTCTGTTTTTTTTTTACCACAACTCTCACAGAAACCCTTCTTTCCTCCTTTTCCAATTATTTAGACCTCTTATGAATCAAACCTGTAAATTAGTCATTCATTTAGCCGATATTTGGTTATTCACCATAGGGCTATTTTAATAAATCAGTTAGCACATAACAAAATCAATGCCAGCCAGCTTGTTATCCTTGTGAACCTTGAGCAAACACATTATAAAGTCTATTAATGATCAAATACATGTAAAGCTCCGTCTGTCAATCTTCCCTTTTCTAATTTCCCGGAAAGCACATGCAGCAACCTTTCCATTCATTTCCACCCAGCAACACCTCATTAACACATCGCTGCAAACACCCATCTGTCCCCGTCAGACCTCCATCACACGAGGTCACATGTTTCAACCAGCTGACCAATGACCTGGCACTCTAACCATTGAGGCAGTGGGGCAGTGAGCAGGCGGGTATAACTTTAAGTAGCCTCTACTGATGGGATGGACTTGGTTCAGAAACCCAACCGATGATACTTTAGCTTTAGAAAAATGGTTATCTTAGGTAGGTGTATAATAAATCCTCTCTATGGATTCATTACTCTCTTCAAGACACATGAAGGTAAGTGGAAAAGTTATAAATACTGTTTGATGGTAATATTGATGTATGTTATCTTTTATGGGAATGTGTGAAGTTGATTATCTTCATAGTGCTGTTGCCTTTGCAGGGATGTTTCTTTCAGTTGTCTTGCTTCTGTGAAAATGTTGACTCAAGAACATTGCAAATGAAATGCACAACATACTAATGCCCTTTCCCTAATGCAGGTGTTTTCAAAGTCCGACCCTACGCATCCCCTCTAAAGACTAAAGAAAACAGTTGATCAGAAGTAAACCTTCCTATCTGTTCAGCTGATTTTCAGGCTTTTGACTTTTTCAAAGTTCTGGCACTAACCTCTTTGTCTGTGACAGCAGTAAAAGTCAACGGAGTGCAAGACCATAAATCTGCAAATGTACACAAGCCCTTTCACAGCTTAGGCACTTATCACCCTAACTGTCACTGGCTATGGGAATATCTACAATGTGTACTCTATTATTCCAACACCGAGGGTTTAGAAGAAGCCCCAGTGAAGTAATACAAGTGCTCTAGATCTGGTGTTTCTGACAGTTTCACGCACACACAAACGCAAACACACATTCACACACACACTTACACTTTCACACCCATAAAGGGAGGCTAGGTGGCGTTTAGTCTGTCTGTGTTGACCAGAATATTCTGTCACAACAAGGGATCTGTACTTCAGGGTGACACCAGTCCTGGCTTGTGGAGGAGGACGAGCCACTGCCTCTGTTGGCACTGAGTTCACACACACACACACACACACACACACACACACACACACACACACACACACACACACACACACACACACACACACACACACACACACACACACACACACACACACACATTCAGTACGAGCAGCAAGTAAATGTGTGATGCAGACAGAGACAGATAACGAGAGAAATGTTAACAGGTTGTTTGAAAGAAGCTTCGACCTTTCACAGAGCTCGAGCCTTAAGCCAAAGGGTGAATTATCTGACCACCAATCTCTCTATAAGTCTAGCAGGGCGGCCAAAACTCACACCAACGTATTTTCTTTGCTCATCACTCCTTTTTTTCACATCTCATTCCATGTGTCTCTCCCCTCCTAACGTCGTCTTCTCTGTTGGTCCCAATGCATTTCTCTCTGTGTGACTTTTTTATCACTCTCTGTTGCTCCCTTCAATATATTTTTCTGTTTGAGCATGCTTCTTCGTTATTTCCTCAGTCTCGTTGTGTTGTCGGTCAACCGAGTCTCGGCAGGATTTTTCTCTTCCACTTTCTGTTGTTAGTTTCGTCCCCTGCCCTTTTTTGTTATTCTGTCTCTGTATAACAAGGACTGTCCGTATTCTCAAGTGGCATTGCTATTGAAAAGGTATATTTTTAGATATATCATTTATTGTTATTTTGTTATTATTACTTTATAGCTCCGCAATTTAATTTGGTCTGCAGCACATAGTTAGAACAGGTGGATTGGTAATGTATGATCATGTGAAGTTAAAAAGTTAATGATTATTTGGAAACTCACGGAAACCTTCAACATGAGTGCAAGAGAATTTTAACAGCATTCTTTGTTAACCATGAATTCCTCACGTTGACCCATTATCACGAATTAAAGAGATCACTCAGGGGCAAATTCACAAAGAACCAATTGCAGCCTCGGATAGCTCCATGGATTTTGCATTACTTGCAGCCTCTATCTGCCTCGTTTCAAGGTCCGGTTGACAAAAGATATTACAAAATTGGTATTACAGCACAAAAAATGCAACAAAGCTTTTCAGCTCAGTGAGTTTTGGCCCTTTTTTGCATCTGATTGCAATTATCCATATTGCATAGTATGCATGTGCAATGGAGGTCAATGCGTCCCAACACACTTAATCGATTCAGGCCAGGTTTTGGCAATTAATTTAGTAACAAACCGGGCTTGGGTCGTCGATATACAACAATATGTAGTGAAATTCAGTGCCATTCAAGAGTGAACCATACAGATTCTGAAATTCACTGTAATAGTCTCTTTAAAATCTTATGTTATACAGCGGTCTGCTTGTTGCAAAGCAATACGATCTTTGGTCTTGTGTGAAATGTCTGGTCTGTAACACCAACTTTTGATGTTGTTCATTAGAAACAAACTCCTATTTTGCTGAAGGATACAAATTAAACTAGTCCGTGGAGAAGGATGTTGTATTTTCAAGGTTTTATGTTCTTACCAACCGAGTATATTTAACACATATCTAATAACCTTTCATAAACCTGGCATTGATAGACTCACCATAATTTTAGTTAATGGAGGAATAGTTGATTGTCAATTTTGAAGATGTTGACACACTCTACAGATAGTAAGGTTGAATATTGGTTAATACGCTGTTGCAAAAACATGTTTCTTGTCGGTTGGAACGGTGATGTTGAATGTCATTGTCAACTGATGACTTATAGTGTTAACTATGGACTATCAAAATAATGTGTTACCAAAATGTTTACTGGAAACGTATAAAACTCTGAACTTTATAGCACTGAACTTTGGAGTTAGACCTTTATTCTTTTTTTCCATTTCCACTTTATATACAATAAGTATTGTGACGCTTGTTTTTGGTAGTTCTCATTCGTAACACTCCGTTCGATGTCTCACTATGGGATGCGCCTCATCGCGGAGCAAACAGAAGCATCAATCTCATTACGCCAATCCTGATTGGCTGGTGATCTTGACGTCAGCGTCAGGGAATCCACCCCCTATAAGTAGCTTGCGCTACGCCGCATGCATCATTCAAACACCTCTTCTCGCTTCAGAGCACATCTCTATTGGTAGCCGGGCTAGCTCACACAGTCCACAGACGGAACCAAGCTATCCAAGCTAACTTCGGTCGACGGGCGCTCGCCGGCTACTTCTATATATACTTCTGCAAGAAGACTGTTAATACTAACACACCAGTTAGTGTTGCAATCTACCTCGCCGTTTCTTTCTTCGGAATTAAAGGTAAGGTTTTGATTTTTCAAGCTGGTAACACACCTGTTACTAGCTTGCCTTTCCTCACTACCGACACCAAGGTAGCCGGGACAGTTTTTTCTTTTTCTCTCTCACACCAGAGGAGGGGAAGATAAAAAGGGTATTAACACACCAGTTAATATTCTTTGAGAATAAAATTCTACACCGTCGCTTTTTCTCCGGATTAACGACAGGTGGGGAAGGATTTTTTCTCAGCAACGTACCTGTTACGAGCGGGTCCTCTCCACGCCGTCACCACGGCGAACGAAATGGACGCTTCTCTCCCTCACACCAGAGGAGTCAGGGACTCGGAGGCTCGGCTCTGCGCCCTGACTCCTCTGGTGTGAGGGAGAGAAGCGTCCATTTCGTTCGCCGTGGTGACGGCGTGGAGAGGACCCGCTCGTAA